TGCAGGTGGAAAAATCAGGGCAAAGGCAATTTGACAGATGTGAACCTAACTCCTAACTCACCTTTCACAGCTCAGAGAGGTTCCTGCAGCACCACTCAGGATGACCCTAGCCCGCACCAGGATGGCCTGCACCAGGGGTTGAGCTGATCCTCAGCAGCTCCTCAGTAGAGAAAGTACAAGCCAGCCTCTCACTGTCCCTGCATCAATGCTTGTATAAAAGGGAAATTTTAGTGAGACAAGGGAACTGCTCATTGCTCAGCTAGCACATAAATCTTAACTCAGCTTGTATGGATTCAATATGCTTGAACTAAGCTTTTGCCACACTAGTTATTCCTTCTTTTGATATTTAAAGCTGCACAGAGCCATAAAACTGGGGAACAAAACTGCCCTTTCCATTGGACGCTTTGGGGTGGCCACCCTGGATCCCATGCTTTGGGCATCCCACAACGGCTACCTCAACCATCCTATGGATGGAACAATCCCTCATATCAAGGTTATCCTAGGGCAGACTGGGGGATTACGTGCGGGACCTGGCACTGGGCAGCAGCAGGGGTCGGGCCTTTGCACTCACCATGGCAGTGGGAACCACAGGAAATGGAGTGATACATGCAGGAGCTTGCTCTGGTCTGCCTCCATCTCCAGATGAGCACTAGCCCCTGCTTGCTCCTCCACATGCTTGGGGGAAGGGAGGCACTGCATGTAACCATGAAGGTTAGCCAGTGAGCCCAGACTTACCGGTTAACCATTTAACTATGTACACTATCACATCCCGAACTGATACCCTCCCTTAATCCATGCCTGTTCCCATTCCCAGCTCCAGGAGTTATGGCCACTGGCTGCACTCAGGGCTAGAGTCTCCCTTCTGCTTATGGCCTCTTTGCAGCATTCAGGCAGAGTGAAAGGGCCAAAAAGATGGATTAATCAGCTACCTGGGGAGGATTCTTCTGGGGTAGGGAAAATCCCTGGGTGGCTCTGTGCCATTTCTCCCCCCAGCCCTTGGTGTGGGACAGTGTTTCTCAAAGCGGGCTGTGGACCCACTCTGAGGCTATGTCTACATTACGAGGTTATTTCAAATTAATAACTCCTGCAATAACTCTTTTGAAATAAGCTTATTCCTCTTCACAAGTGGGAGTTGTTATTTTGAAACTAACCAATTAGCCCGTCATAAGACAGGATTTTCAGGTCTCTCCTCCACGTCAGTCTTCTCTCCTGAGCCTCCAGTCTCTCGTTCCATCTCTCTCTCTCTTTCTCTTCTCCTCCTACTTCCTCCCCCCCTCCCCTCAGCTCTCCTCCCCCTCCTGCCTCTCACTCGTGGAACAGTGGAGCCCAAATGGCCGTTTGGGCTCCGCACTCCCCATGCTGCATGGGGGGTGCGGAGCCCAAACGGTCCCTTGCTCTGCTTGCTCCCACGCAGCGACCTGGCTGAGCGGCGCAGAAGTCAGCCGAGAGCCATGGCGGGAGGCGAAGGGAGGTGGGGTGATGATGTTCACGGCCAGGGGGCGGGGCCTGGAGCCGCTGTCAAGCTGCATGTCACCGCCCCAACCCCCTTTCCCTCCCACCGTGGCACTTGGCTGACTTCTGCGCCACTCAGCCGGGCCGCCACGGGGGAGCAAGCGGAGCAAGCGGCCATTTGGGCCGCACACTCCCCATGCAGCACAGGCCGCCCATAGGGAACAGCCAGCATTTTGGCGTTACAGACTCACAGACACTGGGCTACTATATATATGATAACCAGCCCCTTGTTTCAGGGTTATATAAGAGGCTTGGTAGTGTCGTTGCTCTCCTTATTTCGAGTGAAGACATGCCCTGAAAATGCTGCTAACGGGCCGCTTCAGTTTTTTTACTTACCAGCTCCACACCCACGGAATCTCATGGCTCCCATTGACTGTGGTTTGCCGTTTGCAGACAAGGGGAGACACAGGAAGCAGTGTGGACCCGGCCGCTGCTTCCCATGGCTCCCCTTGGCTGCCAACAGTGAGCCACAGCCAATGGAAACTGGATGAGTAAACAAACTGGAGTAGCCTGTTAGCAACTTTCTCAGAGTGGGTCAGCGGCCCACTTTGAGAAACACTGCCGTAGATGTGGCTGGGGGGAAAATGGTGTCTGGCCAGAGCACATCTGCACTCTGGATGTCCCAAGCAGCCAGAATGGCCTCCTGAGATCAAGAGTAGTCAGGCAACAGCTGTGAGGTTACTCCCACGTACACTGGGGTCTAAACTAGTCCTTGTCTGGCCCCAGAATTGGGGCGGTTTAAAGGTGGTGCCAAGCCTCTCTGGCCCACCCTCTTCACTATGTGGAGCACGGCTCAGACAGACTCTAGCATCAGGGCCAAAGAAAGCATCATGCTCAGTCAGTTTAATGAAGTATTTGTGAAGTCTCCAAATGTCTGTTGGGAGCCACATTGCCCTAGTGCCCTGTTGGGGCTTCAAGGTCACATTAAAACCCCCTTCCAGAGAGAAATCCAGGAGGGTTCCATGTCTGCATTCCATTCTGGCCATTTTAAGACTAGTTCCATAGCAGCATGTATGGAAATGTGGGTGTATAGGACCCAGTTTCTCTCTCCATTGGGTCATAAGAAAGAAAATAAGAGATGATGCCTGGGGAATTCTGCTCAGACTAGTTCCAGTTTGCTATAACTGGAAGAAATGACACTCAGTTCAAAGCCTTGACTAACAAGCCGTCAGTATCCCTCACTTGAGCAGGGACAGAGACAGCAGGTCCTTTGTGCCTTCAAGATTAACATTAGCATCAACACCCAGCAACAATGCCATAGTTTAGAGAGGCCCAAGCAGGCATCTGACTCAGCGTCTAGGCAGGATATTGATTAGAGGCACTATTCTTTATTCCTCTGCTATTGTTTAAACACTCACTGCCCTTGTGACACAACCACCAGCCGTGGGAAATCAGCAGCTATGGTGTTAAAAAGTGCTCTTATCACCAAGCTCAGCAAAAAAGTCTGTTACAGATGGTGTGTCTGATAGGCAGAGAAAGGCATTATAACAGCATCTGATTCTGGGAGTGGAGTGCAAACCGGGTGCCCGAGCATACCTCCCTACACATATTATTTGATTTAGCTCACCAGCAATCCAACACTTCCTGACCCTGAACTCTCCACGCTGTAATTAGAGAGGCTGCTCAGTGTACCAAATCCCTAAACTGCCAGTAATGTGCCAAGTGTACCGCTACTTGGAGGCAAACACAGGAAGAAGTGCAAGAGACTCCACTAGGAGATAACTATTGCTATTGATTTAACATGGAATATGCTCAAATACTACAGTGATGGGTGGCAGTTCAAAACTCTAGTTAAGAAAGAGTATTTTGAGTCATCTGCTAATCTGGCTATCTCCCTGTTCATCCCTCTTTCCAGAGGGAAACTTCAGAACTTTCATTCATGCTTAAATTTGATACTTTCCAAATGGGCCTTAACAAAGATG